TTCATTTTGTTTAAAACTGCCTAGTGACAGTTGCATGGAGTAGTTAACACACGGTCACAGAGAGACATTTACATATATATTAGCACAGTCAGACAGGACCAGAGACTATAACAGTTACATTTTTAATTTATATATTTGAAATGTGGTGTTGAATGCGTCTGGTATGAAGCCAGTTATTCCGAGCCCAGGGTGTGTAACGGGCTCCATACAGTTTTGCCAACTTCAAATGTGACTCACAAAACACAGCTAATGTATCCGTCTTGTCAGAAACAGGAAAAATCATTTTACAGAGACAGAGACAGCAAAGTAAGGTATTAAAAAAAAAAAAGAAGAAAATACTACCAGATCATGTTCTTTGAGAAAATTAGCAGCAGATTTGTTTGAAGAGTCTGGATTTTCCATAGACTGTAAATAAAAGATGGGTGTAGCCCCGTCCATCCATCATCAGTGTCACCCACAGGTTTCTGAAGAGCGGTTTTGAAGCTCAGAGTGAGCTGCTCTGCTGACTTCATCTTGGCAGGTGTCTGACTCCCACCCTAATTCCCAGCTAATCCAAAAATGGTCAAAGAGAAGGGTCGTGTGTGGAGTTGAGACTTTGTTGAACACTGGTTTGTGGCAAGCATATGCTCACACACCTGTCAATCAAAGAGGCCACGCCCTCAGTCATACGTGACATCCTGAACATGCAGTGACCCATCAGATCAGTCAGAACATCAGTCCTGATTGTTTATCAAAAAGAAAATTTAAGAAATTTCTAAAAGAAAATACAGCAAATGATTAATTATCATCAACATCTGTACTAATACTGTAATACTCAAATCCTATAAAGTTATTAAATCATAGTAAAGATACAGAGACATGGGAAGCCTAAAGACAGGCAGGTAGATACAACAACAACACACACACACACACACACACAACGTACGGTGGCCCCTTCAGTGTCAGCTGGACAGCCGGCCTGTTTTCATGAGGCGCAACGCGACCGTCTGGACTCTCTTCTGATCGAATGTTAAACAAGGCCAGATGATGACTTTTGAATGGAGCTTAATGTAGTGGAGGGGAGGAGGTGGAGGCATGGGGTGGGGTGGGGTGGGGTGGGGGCTTTTGGGGGGGTTAGGGCCGCCCCCAGGGGAAACAGGGGTCAGGGAGACTTCGGCACGTGGCCCCTAAAAGCCCCCAAGAGGCGTCCCGTCATCTGCTTGTTTGAACGAGCATGTGTCAGAGGGGAGGAGGAGGTGGAAGGACGACGATGATGATGATGCTGATGATGATTGCTGTATGTGAAGCAACAGCACTGTTAGGCCACTAAAAGTCAGCACTTCAATGTGGAAGAACGTCCGAAATTCAACTGGCCTGCCTCAAAAAGTTCAGAGTCACTTTCAACTCTTTTCTTTGCAAAGCGAGAAATTTCATGAAGAGTGAGCGATTAAACTCACTGATTAATGAAGTGACGCACTAAGAGCTGGTTTGGGTGCCGTGATGTAACAGTGTGTTGAAAAAGCGCTGCAGGGTCATGGGACTCCTGCAGATGGTAAAGTGGAGCCTGTGGTGAAATATCAATATATTGACAGAATGCATAATAGTGTGGACAGACTGTTGGCTCCAAATACAGCAAGACACACAAAACCACATACACACAACACATTTGCAGCAGCATGTAATGCACATTTTTAAAATGATCATACACACGAACACACAGCAATGTTTTTTACTCAGAAGAAGTGTACAAATCAGGTTTGACCAAATTCAAACTGGCACGTAATTCATTCCAACTAATTCAAATGCAGTTCATAAACAGGCGTTGCCGACCACCACCATTCACCACCAATCCAAATATTTTCCCCATGTAGTGTCGTACAACTGGTCTCTATAACTTTTGCTATCCTACCAGTGCTTTTCTCCCTGATTGGCGATGGCCTTTTTCTGAGCTTCTGGCAAAATCTGGAGGAGGAATTGAGGAGAAAAGTAGCATCTCCCTGGTTCCCTCACAAGAACCAATGGGATTTTTACACTGGCTTTCGGATTACTTTTGAAGCCTAAATACAATCAGCAGAAGTAAAAAGCTAATGCTGGGCTTTAAACACTAACCGCGGTCACATGACTTCAAACGTCACCACCACTAAACTTCACTTTGTAGTTTGATTTAGCTCTGACCTCTTCTACAAAAAGCCTCTGCTCTTACACCAGTTAGTAACATTTGTATAAAGACACATGAGGCTGTAAAGGTGGACTGGAGAGTAGATCGGTTTTCAATGTTCAACACGATGATGTTTAACGTCCCTGACAACCTCTGTAGTCTCATTTACACGGCTTGTTAGCAACCAGACATTTTTTTTAAAACGCATCAGTCTGTCATCAGTTTGTTTCTCCGTTTTAAAATCTGATTTTTGTGAAACAGATTTTGCGTCCTCTTAAGTAAGTAGCTTCTTCTATACAGAGCATGCTTTTCCACTTTTTACTGCTTTAAAAAACACAAAAAAATAAAAAGCACTCAAATTCTAATGGTGATAAGTATATAAAGACATTACAGTAAGAATAATAACTCCAAATGCACAAATCAACCCTTGTTCCCTTTAGATTTGGTGATTTTCACAGTGTGTTCGCTTAGAAACCGGACGTCAGAAGTATATTTGATAAAAGAATGACACAACACACACACACACACCACAACACATCTGATAAAAAGCTGTCACCCTCATCATCTACCGCTCAGCAAATGCAGTCGCCCATCACACAAGCAACCCCGTGCTTCTGCAGGCAGCATTGTAGTGTGTGGTGGTGTGTGTGTGTGTGGTGTGTGAGAGTGTGTTTTGACAGTAATAACAGATTATGGAGACTGTATTGATTTTTGTTGTTGTTGTCTTCAGGTCTGGAGTTGCACTGACAGCTAACGTGTCAGTGCAGAATCTCATACAGTCACCATACTCACATCTGAGTTATCAGTCTAAACTATAATATGTGACATGTAAAGATGAATCACTGTCTCTGTCTGATGAAATCTGTCTGCTGGTGATCACCTGCAGCC